ATTAAGTAGAATTTTGAAATTTGAATGAAGAACACACTTTTTTTTTGCCATTCTTTTTTCGTTAAAGCATATATGTAATACAGTGATGGTGACAAAATAATTCCTCGATGAACTAATTTCGTTCACTCTGAGGACTAATTTATGAAAGGAAAACCAGCGAGCCACGAGTGCTCGAGCACAATTATAACAAACATTCAAGGAAAGATGTTTCAAGTAGTTTATGATATCCTCGTGAAGAAACCAAGAAACAAGATAAAATTAAGTCTGATATTCTGCTGTGAGAAAGTATCATGTGAATAATTCGTGAGGAAGGAGACGCCTAATGAATAATCAGGCTGTGATATTTATCTGCATGCAGGATAATTCCTCTTATAGAACTTGTCCTCCACTTATCCGGTTGACCACTGTGTTATAAGTTTGCCTGACAATTCGGTTGATTGAGGCCGATTAAATCCTACGCAGTAAAATATTTTAAGCCTGCAGGGGAAAACTGAAAAAAGTGTTCTGTTATGCTGACCATGAAATAGTTTTCTGTTATAGCTGCCAAGGAATATCAAAGAGATGTGGACAAAACGTTTCCTTTCCAGCTTTCGATTGGCATCTGTAGTCTGTAGCATAAAACAATCCTCAGTAAAAGATAAGACTCCATGGGTTAGTTACAAAAATGCCTTTCGCAGTCAATGCTCCGAAAGCCGTCATAATACATTGAAAGAGGGTCTAAATTCAATTCTTGACGGTGAGCCATTAACCATCAATTTTTATAGGATGATTACAAACCGTTAAAACGCGGTAAAAATTGTTCTCCCTCATTGGTCATCATAGGTAAAGAGAGTGAAATATTTCCAAAGTGATGAATTTAGCTCGTTTAGAGAATAATCCAGATGCGTTTGTTGTCAATCTCTCGTAGCACGTAGGAGCAGGCAGCTCTTCAAAAGATCGTTCAATTACAAATCGCCGCACATGGAAAACATTGCCCTGCAGGGATCAATTGCTTAAATCGCCTACAATACAACGGGTTCTTTTCTTTGTTTCTGAGACGGAAATGCGCCAAATGGAGAGAAAAAAATTTTATTTGTGAAACCGAAACCTTTCAAAATTTAGGTTCCATATTCTATATTCCACAAATCGACCATTATTTGTTAAGATTATGCTTTTTATTTTTGATAAAATTAAGCTTCATGTCGTTGGAGTTTGGACTCTGTAAGCCGAGTCGCGTTGATAAAAAAAGCAAAGTAGACAAAGAAACTTAACTGCAAAATAAACGAAGATTGTGTGCAATTTACTTTGAAATGAACTCCGGATTTAACAAGAATAACAAAATTTCGGAATTAAAACAAAAATATTCATTAAAAATGCGTTTCCTTCCCAAGGGGAATTTTTACAAAGCACCGTAAAATCCCAATCAACATGGTATAAAAAACAGTCAAAAAATAATCCACGGAGACCCAGCTGGAACTCGGCACCGCCTACATAGCCATTGTGGTAGCAGCGAGAGCAACTCTCTCAGAAAAATGAAAGTTAACGTCACTGGTGCTTTGTTTATGATGTTCAGAGGATTAGACTTCATTGAATTTTGATTGTAAAAACAGAGGACTCGAGCATAATACCAAAAGAAGGGCTTAAAAAAAGACGAACGGCGATGGGTATAAAGACACTGGTTTTATTGAAAAATCCTCATTCCATGTTAGTCTGCAGAAGCGGCGGAAGACGTTTTCAATCTGCTTATAAGTGAGCTGGTAAGACTCTTATTACCCACTTAGTACTTTAGCCATTTTCTGAGAAATGGTTTAAACCATTTTTTTTTCAATTTTTGTGTCTTTGATTTGAAACAATATTTTCTTTTGTTTTGAACTACGGAATGATTGTCTTAAAATGTGTTCAATGTCGTCAGTGTAGTACACTTTTAGCTGAGGGACACCGGTTGAGAACTTAGATTTTACCTCTTAAAAATTGAGTTAGGTTTCGTTGCGGTATGTCAACTTGAGCCATTTGTATCATTTGTAACGAAAATGTACAGGAAATCACTTTGTACATGGAAAAATTCGGCATTTTGATTTAGCCAGCATATTTCACCTCTGGACGGATGGAAAGTTATTACGATACTATAACTTTTTCAAGGGTGGATTGGAAAAAGAAAACGTTAATAGTTCTTTTCTTCTGGGATAGGCCTAACAGCGCTAATGTGTGATCGTTAGAACTGGCTGATAATCTAAAGCTGTGTCATACTCAGTTTATTTTCAAACTTATCAAGATTGACAAAGATCAAGGAGTAATAAGCTTGTACTCAGAGTTTGGTAGAATTTTCAAAACGAAGAAGATCTTGTGAACACAATGATATATTAATTTCATTTTTAATCATATTTTTTCTTGGACCTACCAATGTGTAGATAGACCAATTTCGCCATTTTTGGATCAAAACCGTCTTAAGGGTTGAAAACAAAACAGCAAAAAATTGCTTGAATAGCTGAAAAGAAACAAAGAAAAAAATTTGCCGCCAAAATAGGAAATCGATCCAGACCAAATAAAGCAAGTTGTGCTTTATCTACTAAATGACTAGTTTTTTTTAAGCTAATTATTGAGAGCTGCTTTTTCATTTACGTATGCGTTCTATGCTATTATGAACGACCAGGTTGAGCTCGTTTTTGTGTACTTTGATTGTCGTGGTCTGAGTAGACCTGTCGGCAGTGTAGGATGTTTAGTAAGCTGCCACGACCCAGAACTCAGTGTCGAGAAATATGACCACCAATCACTCTGTAATACCTAAAACGAAAAGATAAATTAATTATTTAAAATGGCTTCGATATTTTCAACATGGTTCAAACCTGATTCTGAATTGAAACAGGAGCGAGGCAACCCGATGGGCGATGAATAAAATCAGCCAATTAAAGTTCTTTCTCACTGGTCTTGTAAGCAACGTCATGATCCAACACTTTTGTCGACCGATATTCCCAAAGCACACTAGTGGCACCTGGTTATAGGAGATGTTTATGTCATCTTTGTAATTCGTTGTTTATCCGGTTGATAAAGTGGCTCTCACTGAATTCAAAACAAGCTGTCAAACTAGAGCACAATAACCCCGGGAAATTTCCTGGCGAGTTGCTCATACTTTGCTTATATAGTGTCAGCAATCTGCCCTTGCTTTTACCGTCTGAAACATCTGTGTTCATGCCATAGCTATGCAAAATAAAAATAAACTATCTCCTGAGAGGAAAGAAGAAAACATCTAGGCGAGTGTGCGACCAGAAATAATTCCCTTAGTGCACAGAAAAACCAAGTTGAGAACAAGGTAGGGTAGATGATAAATCTTTATGCTTTGATACTCATACAAAGCAAAGAAGAGAGAGCTGGTATAGCGATGATTTATTTTTTCTCTCGGAAAAATATCTCAGGAATGCAAAGTAGCCGAGAACAAATCCGAGATAAAAGAGTCAGTTTCTTTTTTTCGTGCGATATTTTGATCAAGGAGTCCGTCAAATAGACTTTTTTACCCTACTTCTAGGGTAAAACACGCAAAAATCACCGATATTCCTTTCATCTCCATCAAAGTGAAAAACGTACAAACGGTTGATGTTTTCATGGTATGGATAGACTTGAGAAAAATTATATTCTCGATGTCGCCACATCATAGATATGTGTTTCCCGGAATCGCTCCTATATAAAAGGAAATATAGCTGATTGGACAGTCATCACAGCATTCGAAACCATTCCTGACAGACCCTCTCATTCGGTGTGTAAATAGAATTGCTTACACATTCTTCGGTAACGATCTAGACCAAACTTTTTTCGATGAGGCATTTTTGCAGTAGCTATAGATGAAACAATTTCGACAGCGATATCTATATTTCCCTTTGATCCCACGGAGCCTGCTTTTCGTGACCTCCGTGTCCTCCGCGGAGGCAGAAGACACAAATCTGCGGGAGGCTTTTAAAAATTGTAGCTTTGTTTGCACTCATGAAGGAATAAAAGAATAAAAATTGTTTATCGAGCAATTTTCGTTTTTTTAGATGTGTCTTGGTTTGGCCTCTGCGCGACAAAACGAATTACTAAGAAAATTGGGAATATAATTTACTTTGTAACAGATCATTTCTAAAAAGCTCTTCAGCAAATTGAGATGTTGAAAAAGGTACGATTTTGCCTTCCCATGAAACAAAGGATATTGTTTTATAGCACCAAGATAAGATGTGTTTTGTATTATATTAGCACAATCTGGACTAGCTGTCATACGAAGAATCTAGGCCGTTTTCTTAAGCTACAGGAAAGAGCAGCGAGGGTAATCTCAGATGTTGATGATCAGGGTTCCTTCATATAAAGAATTCAAAATAGACAAAGTACAACTTTCAAAGTACAACTTTCTTTCTTTAGAAAAAAAGTAGTGGAATTACAGGGAGCAATATTGATGGCTCTGGTTGGGAAAAATAGGATGTGTCTTTTATAAGTATGGCTGAGTTACTACTAAACTCAATCTTCTCTGTTCACAACCTGTCGGCGCAGTACAAAATTGGGTGCTATACCCTGGCAACATATAGGATGGATGTATTCCATGAACCTAGTCAGTTAATGTAACTTACCTATCACGATTTTTCTCCTTCGAGCTATGGATCTAATTGCTTCAAAAAATTTGACTTATAAAACTCCTTTCTTCTTATTAAGCTTTCTTCTGATAAATAGTTTGCTAGGATTTTAGTGAAACTGGCACACACACGAATTTTTTTCCCGAAGAACAACCGCGAAGGTGGGAAGTAACCTTAAGTAGCGTTCATTGCTGCGAAAATCACTCCTCTTCAGAGACAAAAATATTATATATATAGATATATATATCAAACAGTGTAAACCATTAAACTCCGTGGAAAGACAGCGCAGATTGTCAGATTGCTAAAGCGCAACTCCCACAGCTTTTGCAGAGATGCTTAAGTGTTTGTCTCATTATCACATTTCTATTTCTAGTTAAATTTTCCCTGAATGAAAGACACATTTATACCGATCATTTTTTTCAGATCAAGATGACAATCTACACTGGGCTTTTGCTTCTTATTCTTTATGCTCCGTGTTATTACATGGAGAGCCCGAATAGTGACTACAATGAACCCTCCTCAAATGTAGCGCAAGCATTCGAGAAGCGGTGTCCACCTGGCCTGTGGTGTGGTAAAAAACGTATGTTCTCAAGGGAGGCATCAAAGCCATCCGACCTTATCGCCCATGTTTTTGAAAAACGTTGCCCACCTGGATTATGGTGTGGTAAGAAGCGACAAGTGAAAGATAGCAGTCAAAACAAAGCCAAAAATTTTGGTGACGCTAACAAACTCGCCGACCAGTTTGCGAAGCGTTGTCCACCTGGCTTGTGGTGCGGGAAGAAGCGAGAGTTATCCAGTCAGAAAGCAATGTATGCTGCGCCACTTCAAGAACATGCTAAAGACACGTCGATTGAGACCTTTGAAAAGCGCTGTCCTCCTGGATTATGGTGCGGCAAGAAGCGAGAGTTATCCAGTCAGAAAGCAATGAATGCGGCACCACTACAGGAACATGCTGGAGACTCGTCGATTAGGACCTTTGAAAAGCGATGTCCACCTGGCTTGTGGTGCGGGAAGAAGCGAGAGTTGTCCCATCAGGAAGCAGTGAATACTGCACCACTAGAGGAACATGCTGAAGACTCGTCGATTGAGACCTTTGAAAAGCGCTGTCCTCCTGGATTATGGTGCGGGAAGAAACGAAGTATACCAAAAACCATGGAGAATGAAGGTGACTTTATCAACGCCCTCGAAAAGCGTTGTCCGCCTGGCTTGTGGTGTGGGAAGAAGCGTACCACTACTGGAGATAATTTGATTGGGTCCAACGAAGAAGAAGGGGAATTGTCGCTGAAAACGTTTGAAAAGCGCTGTCCTCCTGGCTTGTGGTGCGGTAAGAAGCGAACAATTGCCACCTCGGCGAGTACAAAGAATCAACTGGACGTTTAACAAATCAAGAGAAGTAGGATCAACAGGAACATTATGATGAGTAATATAAAGTTATTATTGATGCAATGAAACCAATTGGACATTTTGATCGTATGAACGCAACCGTTAAAAGTAATGCCATTTGATAACTTTCAAGGAGTTTTCGAGTACCTCTGTAGGTGTTTACGAATGCCTCATTAAAAAATGTTCTCCCTCCAACTGGCGTCCATTGTTTTCATCTGTATTTCTTTGACTGTTTGTCTCTTTCTTTGTGTTTTTCTGTCTATCTATTGGTGGGTGTGTGTCAGTTCCTCTTCAGCAGACTTCAATATTATTTACTGCGCTTCGGTACGAGAATGATTCCTTACTGCTCCAACTATACCAGGAGACTGATAAGCCGCCCTTCCAATGATCCTTGGAAAAATTAAGTCATCTATTCCAAATATAAATCGCAATCTCTACCAATTATAGGAGAATGTCTTCTAGACCAGAATTTTCATCTTCTCCCTTTACAATCTACATATGTATTGTGATGTATACTATGTTCCTTTGTCGTAGGACATGTGAGCCATCTTAATAGAAAAGGGTAAAGGATGGATGAAGCCGCCGAAGGTCCTTGTTGTGTTTCAATACTATGAAAGTGTTTTATCACGACCTGTCAGGCCCGGCTCGCGCAATCCCATAGAAAACCATTGCGAAAACTGACGTGTGAAGGGCGGGACGGGTTGACGTGAGCCGGTCCGGAAAAAGCCGTCCGGTCCCAGTGCACTTGTACGGCTTCATTGGCAAAAAGATACATTGTTTGCTGTTATTTATGTATATGAGTGACAGCAGTGAACGAAAAGGAGAAAACAGGTAACGTTTTTCGATGACTTATGATTTTCTCGTTCTGACTCGAAAAAATAAAGGAAAAGTTTCTAGAATCTTTTTTGTGGTTCTCCCGCGAACGCCAGCCAATCGTGTCCTATTTAAGTTAAGACAAACTTTTAGAAATTTTTAATATTTAGTCAGAGGTCATATGATAAAATGCTTATTGACTGTGTTAGGTCGAGCCTGGCTTTCGTTCATGAAGCACGGACCTCGCCGTGCTCGGCTCGTACGTGCTGACCTTCAGCCAACTATTTTCCCGTCTGGCCCTCCCACTCAGTCAATAAGTAGATATTATTGACAGTGGTTAACGTTACAATAACTAAGAGAAGACAAATTGTTTTTATGGAAATGATGATGATGATTATCATCGTAATTATCGTCATTTTTTCATCATGAAACAGAGTAAATGAAACTAAGTTATACATTCTGAGGGCCACCACGAATGGAATCGATGAGGTGGAAAGAAATCTTGGTGAAAAATACGGCGTTCGATAATAATTTAGGACGTGCAAAGCGACAAAAACAGAAATTTCCGACCCTCTGCTAACTGGATTAGGTCGTAAACAGTCATCTAAGCGTACTCACCGCACCGTTTTAAAGCTTGTATTTTTAATAATATCGAAAGGAGACACCGCTGGTAAGAAGACACACATTTTGACTTCCGCGCATCTGGAAGTAAAAAAAATCCCCTTGAGCGGTTAGTTCTAGAAATTGAGTCGAAAAGGACCTTTTGTTCATTTTAATTTGAATCGGACAACTAATACTTCCTCCCAAACAACGCACTGTTGAGCTTATTACCCTCATGTATTTGACTCCCCTGTCCCGACCAAATCTCTCAATAAAGTTTCGTGCGAAATTATGCGGTACAAAGATAGGCCTTTGGAAACGAGTACTGTCTCAATATGGTGTTGTTAATACCTCTGAGAGCAAGACTCAAGTTGCTGAAAATTTTCAGACGATTTTGAGGTTCCTTCATTGAAAAATACCCCTTTATTCTCACAAGACATTTCCAGAAGTTGGCGTTCGGTAGAAATTATCATGTTAAATTAGCTCTGATTTCCATCACAATAGAAGAGGGCTTTTTGTTGAAGAGATGAAAGGTGACAAAAACGAAATCAAAACATTGGGCTCGCGAGAATAGAAACTCAAACAACCAAAAACGAACGACGGGAGAGAAGATCAAATTTTGTTTTTGAGGGGTGTCTCTCGTGTACAAATTTGGTTGAAAAGACAAAACTCAAAGACAGCTGAAACACCAGACAAGCAGACTGGAGGTGACTTAGGCTGTTTCCTCCTTGTACGTAGAACTTTCCTTAGTAAAAAATAAAATTTTCTCAAATTTAATATTTTGCTCCGTGAAATTTTTTACGTTTACTGAGAAAATTAAGTGATATGGAGAAACACCTTAAAGCTTTGAAGTAAGACTTGTCATAAGAATCAGGGCATTCATTCTAATTTTTTTCATTTCTCTAAACACAGGTTATCAGGTTATTACACATCCTTAAACGGAAATCGCTTAGAGTGTCCTCTTTATCACAAAAGGCTGAAGTGCTACTTCCTGGCTGTCAACGTCTTTTGATGAAAAATCACAAACAGATGAAACGATTCGAGCCGAATACATTTGCGAACTAAAAATTGTCTGGTCTTATTCCCCACTCCTAAATTGTAACTCCAAGTGAGTAAGATTTATTGATGAAATTACATGATTAGAACCTTTAGAAAACTAACAAACTTGACAATGTCGAAGATTTTGCAAAGATAGGTATTCCGAAAAATATGAGGTTTTACACCACCCTGATAGTGCCTTGGAGTTTCACCTTTTAGTCTCATTTAAGTATATATTGTAAACTAAAAATTGCGTGAGGAAAGGAAAATCTAGATGGCAAGATAGGAGAATGTTGCAAACATTCAATATCAATTCCAAAAAAAACTGAAAAATTTTTCTCAGGGTGAAAAATTACAGCATACTTACCGAAAATAATCCAAAATAGCGCTGGAATATATTTTAGCTATCAGAAAAAGAACTGCCGATGCAATGAATGTTTAATGAACGTTTTAGTCTTATTCTCACTGTTCCCAGATGGAGAGATTAGTCTTAAGTGCAGGCATAGTATCTCACTCGCAGAGATCGTAGGAGTAATTTAAACTGCAAGACATCTTTGATGAATGACAAAAGAAAAATATTGGGATATTTTTTCCCACAAGGAACCTAGTAACAAAGCAGAATGTAGCCTTAATTAACAGCTTTGTTAACAAGACAAAGGCATTTCACAACAGCAACCTCTCGCCGGTTATTTTTTTCTTTCTGCCGCCTTTGCATTTGAAGTTTAACAACCTCATGATGTTTTCCCCTACACTGGTATTCAGATAATAAACAGCGGGCGTCAAAAACCGAGCTCCTTACCCTAAGGCACAAACAACAGCTGTATAAACAAGCTACCTGAGGCACGAACTGTTTCACTCAACCAGAAAATAGTTCAATGTTTTCAGTTGCTTGCATCTTGTAACTAAAAAATGGTTATTTCAACATCAGATTACCATAAAAATAAATTGAGGTAGAACGTTATTTCGGGATAGCTGTTTCTCGTCGTTACCACTTTTTGGGCTAATTAATAGATTTAATTGTTCTCCATCGGGAGAACCACGCTCGAGTCTTTGTATTAAGATAACACAAAGGAGAACAGTTTTTTGCACCTGCTAATGTTTTAAACTAATGCAAAACTTGGAATTATATGAGAAGCCTACTCTGCTTTAAGAGTGATCTTCCGAAAGCAGTAAACTATTAGCTTCCTTCCTCCCTTCGTCTCTTTCCTGTCTCTGAGATGTGTGGGTACATTGTCAATTGACGTGCATTGATGTTTCCTTTTCTCATAACCTAAACGCTCGAGAAATAAGTTTTAAAAGTTTAATTAAGTAAAGTTATAATAATCGACATTTATTAGTTGTTGCAATATGTAACTACGTCAGGCGAAAAATCTTTTAAGAAGAAATAATTAGAGCGACATTATTAATGGACGTTCTAAATAAGTGCGGTTGATTACGAGATATGGTGACAATTTCAGCAGTGTCACTTGAGAGATTCTGCCAGCATGTAAAGCTGACAAAGAATATTCTCCGAAAGTCGTCTTTGAATCTCAGAATTTCTTTTAAAATCTTTAAAATGTTTTGGTTAAAATATACAAATTTTTACTCCAAATATAATCAATTTTTTACGTTTTGATCCTAAGCTAAATTTGCAGTTCATTAGAAGTTGTGATGCATCAACTCTAATAAAATAAAAATCCCCAATGGAGACAAAAAAATCAAATCTGAGTAGAAGAACGTTCTTCCTCTCTCAGATGCTCTTACCCAATTTGGCCTCCAACGCACATGGGTTTAACGAGTAGGACACTACGTTTGAACAAATAAAATACACCACAGTTCTTTTTTATCTAACGGGGCGGAGACAATCTTTTCCTCAATCATTTGCGGGTTTTCAAAAATTAGAGAGAGTAAGAGCCGAATTGAAGATTAGTTATATTGTTTTAACAAAGAAAAGCCGATTACAGGTTAATTCTATCAAAACTGGCAAGATTCGTGGGCTATAGGAAATGTAACACAAGCAGCGAACAGGTGAAAATAGGTAATTAAACAGTTTGGCGTTTTCCGGGATTCTCTTAGTATAAAAGAAGACATTTGAGACTTCTGGCTGTTAGAAACGTCTTTCAAACTTTATCGAGAAAGCATCGCTTTTTAGATTTTGAGGCATTTGTTTGGCATTCTTCGACTAAAAGGCAAATTTCCAAAGGTGTTCAAGACTTTGTTCGACAAGATGACAGTGCTCATCTCAGGAAGTATTATGTTGTTTCTCCTCGTTTGTCAAGTTCATAAGGCAGGAGGGGTAAAAAATGCGGAAATCAATACTCGAAGCGATTTCCAGAAGCGACTAGATGCTATTTCTGAAATAATATCTCGAAATCCGGGCAATTTTGATAAGTGGCCGAAAACATTTCAACCAGGGATTCCAAAGCGTAGAAATGGACTTAATAGCGATGGTACACCGAGTACGAGCAAGAATGAAGAGAAAACTCGTCATGTAAGAATGAACTACCCCCAAAAAATCCATACCAAAGTTCAAAACCAAGCGACGAAGGAGACTAAAGGCAGATTTGAATCGCTTAGTGGCTTTCAAAGGATTTCTAAAGCCGCCGTTCAGAAGTCTCCTTGTCCTGCAGAGAATCCTGCGTGCGAAAGAAAAAGAACCGTACTACCAGCAGGAAGAATTTCCTATCAGTGTCCTACTGGTTTGTGGTGTGCTAAGAAACGGAATTATCGATTAAGGGTAGTTACAGATCCCGGAGAGCCACGGGTCAAAAGAAGCAAGCGAATTCCATCAAACGATCACAAACGAGCACGAATAGAAAAAGAAACGACCGAAAATTTTGAAATCATGCCACAAACACCTAGGCGATGTACTTCTGAGTTGGGTTGCTCTGAAAGCCATGGCGAAAAGGAGCAGGATGAATCATCCAACAGGTTATTACAAGGGCATATACCAGACCAAGGTAAGAGACAGTGCCCTGTTGGGTTATGGTGTTCATCTAAACGAGAAGCTGGCTTCGAAAACTCTGAAACCTTAAAGAAATGCCCTCCTGGTTTATGGTGTAAACGTAACGAGATCCATCTTGGACAATACTTTAATTCAAAACGAGCGAGTATGAAAGACGGTCGCCAGTGTCCAACAGGTTTGTGGTGTTCAAGGAAAAGAGAAAATGGATATGCGAATTTTGAGACCATGAGCGATTGCCCACCCGGCTTATGGTGCAAGAGAGATAAGATCATGCCTGTTGAAATGGATATTGCAAAGAGAGAGCTCGAGTATGAAAACTCAGAGACATTGAGAAATTGTCCTCCGGGATTATGGTGCAAGAAAAACACGATTGACGACATCATAAAAGTGCGAAACGTTAAAGTGAGCTGTCCAACCGGATTTCGGTGTTCGTTCAAGAGGTATATGGGTTATGAGAATTCTGACACTCTTGAGAAGTGTCCTCCAGGCTCCGAGTGCAGACGCAGTGAACAAAGAGACAGCGACGGTTCCACTGAGCAGGACTGTCCTCCCGGTCTGTGGTGCAAGCGAAACGGAGGTAAAATTCGGGAAGCCACAAATCAGAGCGTTGATTGCGCGGACGTCTCCTGGTGTTTACTTAAGCGAAAGCTAGGTATTGAGAATAAAGATTCTCTGGTCAAATCTAAATAGTATAATTATTGAACACTATATTTAACACTATAAATGGTAAGTGCACTGAAATCTGAAAAGAAATGCAAACGTTAAACTAAATAGTACACCATAATAAGCAACCTATCTTTGTTTAAGAATATTTGCTTTTAATTTAGCTGACTAGGACATTACCGTAAATGAATTTAAGTCAAACTTTAAGCTATTATCAGGGGAATTCCAGCCATGGTGTTTTTAGTCAAGACATCGGTTAGAGCATATAATAAACGTGTCCAAAACGAACTAATAAAATCATTTGCCAAGCAAAGAAATCATTTCGTGCCTTTATTAATATGTTTTGTCTACGATACGGGCGCTCATTAATATTTTTCAAAGCATAACTTCTTGGTGTTTTCTCGTTCTTAATTGAACTAATTAAAAATGTTGGCAAGCAAAAGAAAGTAATTTAATCTGAATGTAGAGCGGCATGCGATGACTCTGAAAATAACTTATTGTTTTGATTTCAGTTCCTCTTCTTTTTCCAAGTTCAAAATAAACCTATCCTTTCAACATCTTTAAACTTACCTGTGACCAAACTGTTTCCAATAGCCGTTACTTTGTCATCCTTGAGCTTTGTTTTAAAATTTCACTTATCTGAGAACAAAGTATCTCTTTATTCTAATTAAATGTGAAATACACAGATGCATATCTCGAAATATAAAACAGATCAAGACTGGTTCTAGATCTTTATGAATTACAAAAGTGCGATGAACTTCACCTAAAGTGCACGTCAGTCTAACTCGTTGAGAACTTTTATTTGGGGTAGAATTTTAAAAAATAGGGTATTGTTTCCACTGTGATTTTATTGTTATCTGTGTTGTTAAACTTAAGAGGCTCGAAGCTAAGTAAAGGCATAAATTATTCTGTGGTTCTCGATCATTTTTCGAATTTTGTGACCGAGATAAGTAACCATGTTCAACTTCAAACAGGATCGTTCTTCCCTCCATGTTTCTCTGAATAATTTCTCTCATCACATGACAACGAAAGTTTGATTTTCAAATCCGAACAGCTTGTGGTCCCCAAATTGAACAAAATTATTGCTTTATTTGTGTATCTTTAGGTCATAACAAGAGTTGAGCTGAACCAATCAAATAAGAATTGGTAGATATGTTTTCCATAATATGGATATTTTTCATCCAAGAAAATTTTCAATTTGGGACTGATCAAAAATACCTAAAGATAGTTTTGCCAAAGTTTTTCAGCAAAGTTGGCTTCTTTCATGAATTTGAGATTCACTGTTGCTGATTTAGTTTCATAAAAGTAAATAGGAAATGTTTCCCACTAAGTCTATGGCTTTTATTTCAGTATTCTAACCCACGACCATAATAAATCTTAATGAATCTGCCAAATAACGGTACAATCACATCCAATTAACTTTTTAAAAGCACACTGTCTTCGACAATTCTCCTCCATTTGCAAAATAGATTAGGGCCACTCAACTAGAGCAGTTGTCAAGTACCAGCTAAGCTGGCTAAGTATTAGATCTTTTGTGTCCACGTTATGGGTGTCATTCTCTTTAAGTAAGAACGCTTATTATACAGTATATGAATTCTAATCCTCTTTTCCGTTAAGTCATTTGAAAGCTCTGGATATGTTTGACAATGACGTGACTTCTGGCCCAGTTGAATTTTTTTCTTTTGAGTGACGACCGTGTAAATAGAGGTCGGAATATCAACTACCTTTGAGCAATGACAAAAAGGCGGCAAAAAGGTCTAATACAATATTAGTTCCGATCCCAGATCCACTCAAGAAAGCGTGTTGGTGCTAAATCTCTCTCAAACTGCTATAAACATCCATGGATTAAGGGTTGATGTCTCTTCTTAATTAAATGTTTTGTGACTGTTTCAAACAATTTTCTTGATTTTGTCTTCCTTAATGTTACTTCAAAGTTAAAGTTTGTGCTTAGTGGAAGTTAGTAAGTGTATTTAGAGTGAATTCCTATTTCGTTTTCTTCAAATCCGATGATACCTTAAGTAGATGGCTCTTACTGTACATGCCGCTGGATCCGGGCAGTGTGGCTGACACCAAGCTGTATTACGGCGTTCGTTCAGTTATATGTTCTGGCACATTTAATGATGCACACTATTTTGTATGTTTATAAATTCGAGGAAAGGAGGAGATTCCTTGCAAATGAGCCAGTTTTACAGATTACTATTGTTTAAGGTGGCAGCTAAATTCTGCTCAGTTTCAGGGCCAGCAGTTTTTCAAGCAAATCTCAGAAACAATTTTTTTCCTGTTCTTGCGAAAGTTTTCTTTCAAAATTGCTGGAGAGATTTTGAAAAAATTTGAAAAGACAGCAAACAAAAAAAGACAACAACAGAACAAAACAAAGCAAGACAAGATGAAACAAAAAAGTGACTTGACTATCCACGGTTTCTCTCTCACACACACACTTTTATTTTTATTTTCTTATATATTTACAAGATATTCCTTTGACCTGCAGATAGCAAATGCTAATCGAGGTGGGTCAATTCTTTTTTCATAGCCAACTTTATTTAATTACACTGGAAATAAAACGGAAATGAAGAAATATAACATAAAAAGACAAAAAGATACACAACAAAAGAAAAAAAGAAAATGAGAGATGTTAATTGTGAAGGAGAAAAAGTCTGAGAGTTTCTAAGTGTACGAAACATATTGTAGAACTGGTTCAATTTGGTTCAATTTTGCTGTGTTTGAATTTTAATATTATATCATTAGGCTCCATATAAGAATCTTCGGTTTTTGAAATATTGAGAAGAGCTCTCTTTGTTTCTTTTTTGAAGAATTAACTCGACAAATTTTTATATTCATTCGATATCTTATTCTAGACTTTCACATCAACACGCGAAAAGACCTTTCTTTGCATTTTAAGCCTAGAGCACTTTAGTACGCTAAAGAGTTGTGACGTTGATGAGCGAGTAGTATATGTATGAATGTTTGAAGTTCTCGAAAAAGTTTCATGATGTTAGAAGCTGCACTGTCGTTATGAACATCGAGCATTTTTTTACATGCAGCTTCATAATATTAGAAGATAATCGGCAGAGCTTTTGCATTTACAAATAAGGGGATTGCATGTTGTTTTCTATCAACAAAGTAGATTAGACGTAATACTCGCTTTAGAAGTACAACAATTTTGCTTATTATAGTTTTTAGACGCATTACCCCATGCAACGAGTCCATTAGTTAAATAAGGTAAAATAGGAATTCACAAATATTTATGAGTAGAGATGATGGAAAAAAGTGTCTCAACCTAGCAATCATTCCCATGTTCTTACTTATTTTAGTGATAACACAGTCCAAATGGTTTTTCTAAGAAAGATTTTCATCGATTAAAACATCTAAATACTTGATGTAACTCTTATGTTCCAAACTGACTTTTCCATTTTTTCACCATCAAATATACTTATTTGTGGAAGATAACGAATTTTCTTTCGTCTTGGGCAAAAAATTACAAGATTTGATTTTTTTGTTTGCAAAGTTAATTTATTTGTAGTTCGCAAGTCATGTAAATAGTTCAGTTCAGCATCGACCGTCTGTTCTAAGGACTTAAGGGTCTTGTCAGCATAGAGAATATTAGTGTCATCCGCAAATAAGAAAAAATTGAAGTTTATTGGAATAGAGGTAAATGTCATTTATTCTAACATGACTCGGAGCCATGTCAGAATTCTAATACATCGACAATGGCCTATTTGATTTCAACAGAACTGAAAATAAGACAAATGGATAACCCTCAAGCTTCCTAACGTAAGTACTTGACAAAAAAAGACGTGTTTTTGTCTTGTCACGAGCGTAGGAAAATGAATAGCTAACGAATGCAAAGATATTTCTTCGATAGAATAAAAGGTTCTCGGGAAAGTGTCCGTTATAAAGTATTGTAAAACTCTGAGTCAAACAACAACGCCGAGGACGAGCTGTTATAAAACTATAACCCAAAAACAAAAAAGAAATCAACAAGGATTCGTACACAAGGATTTTTGGTCATTTTTCAAACCGTCCAGCCGTTTTGGGACGTGTGCATATGACGAGAGAGCGCATTTTTCCGCAAGCGAGAAAGAAATGACGTGAAGGTAAAGTAATCTGAAGATAAGTTAGTACAAAAGTAAGAACGTATTAAGTAATTCTCTACTGCCCACTTACGGCTCATTAATAAACCAGTGAGGCAGATGCCGTATTTCTGCTGTCCTATTCCGTGAGGGGGATGTGTAGGAGTCACAATGTGGATGTCGGTTACCACTTCTTTGGCCAAGTATCCATTTATCACGTCTACCTTCGATTAATTTTTCTTACCCAAAAAACCATAATTGCACCACGTCAGTTGATCAATCTATACCTTTTAACGGCGTCCTTTTGGATCCTTTTTTAACCAGTTTGATGACTACTTGATGATCATGAGCGCAGTTAATTTATGTTCAGTTTCTGTAAGTTTCTGTAGTAATAGTACTTTGATAGTAAAAATTATCAAAGCACCCGAAAGGGACTCGCGATAACAATGAACAGACCTACAGAGAGCCATGATTGCGGACAATGTAGATTACATCTACGATGTAAAAGCTATTAATAGACGATCGCGATAAATATTGATATCGTCAGTAACTATGAGTCCATTACTTTCCTAAATGGATCTTCGCAATCAAAAGCACCAGTCTCTCATTGGTACATCTCTTCTTGTTATAATACGTAATTCTTTTCTTAGAATAAACTGGGTTTATAGTTAGTCAGGATAAATAATGGATGAAATGCTTTTATTAAAGCTTATCCAGCGCTGAGTGGTTGTTTCTTTGGAGTTATCTATGAGGCACTTAGGACAAAGAAGTTCGGATCAATAAGAAGCGGGAAGTCGAAATGAGCCTGTTCATTTAAAAGATTAGTTCTTTAATTGATATTAGTCTTTGAACTAAAAACAGGAAACTATGCCAAGAACTGTCAGATCGTTTTCACATGAACGGTTAGAGGCTCTAAGTTTATTCTTACCGTATTCAGATCCAGCTTAATTTTTTGCAGCTGGTAAGAGAGCGAAAAAACAGGAAAAGATTCGGCTGCACCTGCGCTAACAAACAAACTAATTGTCCAAGCTCCATCCTATTTGGCATACATTAAGTTGATGATTTGTGAAGGGAAGTGAGCGTAACAATAAAAATTAAGAAACGTTAAAGCAAAAGATTCTGTGTGAAGCAATACTCAACACAAATCATCATACGTAGGATTTATCCTTTTGAAAATAAAACTTATCTTTAGCAGCTTTAGTATTTTAGTTTCAAACCGGTAAAAAAAATTAATCTTCACTACCATTAGACATGTTTAAATTTTTAAAACTTCTATCAGTGAGGACGAATCAGGGAGAACGTAACTTTTATAGCTGCTCGAATGTTGTGTTCTGATGATTCATTCTTTATCCTTCATCACTATTCATGAGGCGCTAAAAAGAGCTGATCGTTAATACGAAATATTTCTATTAAAATCCTTTTCCAACTGTTAAGCTCGACAGTTTCAGTTTGCACCAATTTCACGAATTTCGACTGTTAATTTTTTTTTCGGAAAGTACTTGTTTTGGTTGAATGAAATTTTTTATTTTATAATACGGAAATTTTAGTCAGTCCAAACAGCTGAATCGACTGTAAAGTGAAATGATGACATGGTAGTGTCTGAATAATCCAGATAAGATTTTAGGCCTAAGAATCACAGAACCATAAATATTATAATGATTTCCTATCTGTTTATTTTTCGTTTGCGATCATCATTCATGGAGACCGGAACAATCCCTTTAGCTAGCGAGGGAGAGTGAATTCAATAACTCTGATAGGCTTTGTTCTTTCAAAACACTGTCACGGGAAACTTTAATTTGAAACACAATATTTCATCTCATTTAAAACCAGATATTCTTGCAGGGCGAGAAAGTGTTGGTGAATTTATCCTCTATGATTGTAGATAAAATAAAAAGTAAATTTAATTCATTTATAATTTGGATTAAAAGACGCTTCTTGCTATGTCCGATGGTAACACAAATTTCGTTTTGTACACACGACAGAGCAGGGATCTGCTAAGCAAAATATATTTTGCTTTTTTATAGTTGATATAACAATTTAAGGATTGCCACAGGTAAGAGCACTTGAAGGTGCCATAACAATGTTATTGGTTGCCTCGCTGTGTACTTCAAATTCATTCTCTCTTCTTTCGACTGCTACAATGTTGACAAATTGATCCTCAATGATAGATTTTGTGTCCCTGACGCTTCCCATGAAATACATATCCAGGTGTTTTGGATACTGGCGGTGTTCTCCGTCATAAACAGCAGGATGAACCCGAGTACGACAGGAACTTCTCCAAAACGCTGACAAGCAAGAGCTATTGTTGTTAGCTGTGTAGGCAAATGAATTTCGTGGGTTCGAACTTGAACTTCCTAGACAAATTCCACACCGAAGTGTTTCTTGTAAATAGCTTACAATCATCCTGTTTCTAAATATGTATATTGCAGGAAAAAGCGATCGCTTAAGTGAAAAAATAAAATAAATGACGAAGCCGGCGCTAAAATCAATTAACGGGTTTCCCGTGAAAACGGAGTAAAACGCAACACTTACATAGGATAATGTACAGAATAAAAACATAGTAAATAAGATTATAGCAGTTTTCGATGATCGTTTGTAGGCATCCACGGCAAACCTCTCGGCGCTACTATTTCGCGAAATGTAACTGTTCTCCAAGTTTACTTTCCGGCTGCTTCTGACGGAGTTTAGAATGCGGATGAACACGTAGTAAATGATTAAAATTGGCAGAACTAAATTGCTTGATTTGAACATAATGTTGATCATTCGAGGAGTTATTTCTGGCTCGTAAATATGAGGGAAGAACGAATAACATCTCCCTTTACATGTGCTACTGACCAGACACCAAGGCAGGGCGGAAAGAATGGCTTGTAACCACGACCACAACACTATCATACGCGCCCGCTTTCGAGTCATTTTTCGTCTCAGTCCCTTGACTAATATTATAAACCGATCCAGCGCGATGCCGCACATATTCAGTAGAGCAGCCACCACGAACAAGTCTTGAAATGAGAGCAGAACCCGACATACAACAAAATTTGAATAAATCAAGTCTTTTGCGAGGACAGCGATCCAAAATGGAGCGTCTGATATGGCAGAGAGCAGATCGGAGATACACAAGCTTACCACAAGAGTATTGGTGGTCGTTCGCATTTTGAAGTTACGGCAATAAGTCAAAATGATGAAAAAGTTTCCAAGGATGGCGAGCGTGATGTTTAAAATTATCAGAAATCCTCTTGCAGGTGTTGCAAGCCCCATATTTAAGTCATCGTTGTCCTGACGAGAATCATTACTGGTTAAATTCAATGTCATTTCATTTTGTTTTCCGAACAACGTCACCATTTTCGTTGGCGTATTCGCAACTGCGACTAATTACAAGGGACAAGAAACAAGCTCACGTTGTATTAACATCACTGTTGTCTTTTTCTTGCTCCACTGTGCAAACACCAGCGAGACGCTCGATGACAGATGGAAGTTAATACCGGCAGTTTTTATGATTAACACGCTCTGAAATAGCCTGGTGAACGCAATTTATCGTTTACGGATGAACAAAATTTAGAATCACGAAACATTCCGGACGTCGTTTGTGCATTTCTTTTCCAGAAATTTTAAAAGTGTCGTGCGCAGGAAGAACGAGTAAACATTCAAACGGCTTTAAGTTTAACATAACTAGAACGCATGCGTACTGAGAACAAATCGACGTTTTAAGCATTTATATTTGCTTTGATTTTCGAACTAAAAAAGCTCTAGATCTTATATTAAAATCAAATTTTTTGTTTTTAAACGAAGAAAGAAAACGTCATTTTAAGTGCAAATCCCTCGACCTGAAAATGATAAAAATGTAATGCATATTAAAAACGACGTATTGTACTTCACGCTATTTTTCAATCCATTAGTCACCTGTCTTCTTTACGGATGTAAAGGAGAAACAAAAGTAATAAAACGAGCTGAGAAAAAGACGCAATAAAGTTCCACTGAGTTGAAGGAAGTTTCTTGTGTGGGAAAATTGCACAGTCATCGACAGAATACGAATTTCACGCGCTCATTTAGATCTGCATGTAAATTATTATTCCAGCTATCTCCAAATGTTTAATCAATATTTTCTTGCGAATTTCCATCGGTTTATTTCTTTTCGAATATTCTTTCACGATATTCCCTTCATCTTAAACACAAATATAGGAGAAAAGTAGCACACATAATGACAAAATATGAGAATATTCTTTTATTATTTATACAAAGGCGATCGAAGCGCTGTACTGGTTTTAATACCGCCCCGAGCTTTTGATGACCGAATGACGGCGACAATAAGATAAAAAAAATATTCGAGAACGCACTTGAGCTATATTTGTTGCCATAGGATGATGATGAAGTTTTACACGACGTAAACATATCTCGGAGAAAATTAATCAGATGAATAATTTGATCGGATGTGGTAGATAAAGGATATTGAAAAGCAAATAAAGGAAATACAAATCCTCGTCTGAGCTCGCTTACAAATAATTTTTCCTGCTGTTCAGCAAGCATTTACCGACATGATATAAGTCACACATTGAGGATAGTACACAGCCGTGTGTGGATACGAATTTTGTCTTGCACTCTCACGAGTGAGGAAGAGAGAAAAACAGTGAGAGATATGGACATGTATGATGTTATTGCTATTTTAAAACACAATTCAAGGAAGTAAATGATATCCAGTTTCTGTCATATGAATAAATTACAATTTTCTCCTGTCACAAAGAAAGCTGAATTCGACTTATAGAATGTTGATGAGGTACGAAAGCCAAGGTGTATCCAAGTTGACGCAAATGGTTACCTCTAAGACACCGTTAACTTCCACTGTGAGAGATAACATGGAGTAGGGCATTCCTTGTAACCGGTGATGACATCTCTCGGAAACAGAAGAAATTGCTATCTAGATTTGTCTTTTATAACAAATGCAATTCTACAGAATCAGACAGGGAAGATTTGTATTAACACCTGCAATGGTTCAGAAATCTCCCTATTCTATGTCCAATGTCCTTGAAATGTACAAAATTATAAATAAACTAAATTGATAATAACAGAGGGTGAAACCTCATTATGTGAGCAAAATCCGACCATACATAATGGGCCCTAAAAAGCAAATTTCTTTGTGAATCGAAGGTTCATTATAATAATCCATTAATCCATCTTTCATAGAATTTCTTTACTTCATGATCACGTATCAAATAGCCATCAGTAAGGAAACAAAATACTAAGATAAAAACAGTTCAAAAAACGGAAACAAAGGTCAGTTGTTTCGGCTCTGAAGCGCATAAAACGAGATTTTCGTGTGATTAATGATTTGTCAAACATGAAAATAGCGAATGATACAAAACATGAAAGCGAATTTAAACTTTAAACCTGGGATAAGACTAGATATAAATAATCTGTGTGGTACCAACACCCAAATGTGAGTGATCTATGATTGGTTATGGCTAAAAACGTCTCATTTCTCGTTGCAAAAGGTCTTGTGGAAGATACAATCTTTAATTTCGGCGACGCCTGTGTAAATCAGTGAGCAAATTTTTACTTTGTTTATTTCTGTCCGCTTTTTACAAATAGATCTTTGACGTCCATAATTGAACACTGAAATCACCAAGATATACTGTTAACTGTAAGAAAAACTAAGATATAACTTGAAATCTCGAGAATCAATAACTGTTTGGAGGCTTGTCTTGGATGTGCGTCTTGTGAGATGAGTTAAAATAGCAATAACGGGTGAAGAGATTCTCGTCAAGTCATACGACTCGTACATGTACTTTAGTCTTTAAGGGTTTACAAGGAAGCTTACCTGCATATATGTACGATCTACTTAAATTTAATGCAGACCTACCCACACGAACTGGTCGCTGTAGTAAATTAAATATCGCCTGCCCTCGATTCAATCGCGAGACCGAGGAAGGAAGACCTTTAGCGTATCTGCGACAAGATTGAGGAACCAACTATCCATTAACCTAAAGAGGCGACAACAGTTGCTTCTTTCAGAAAGGCCTTTCACTTACATTTTTAACGAGGTATGATGAAGTAGAACACTTCAGTCCGAATGCGATTTAACCTAGCCCATGCAGCATATTTAATTTCATCTAGTTTTTAGCGTATATTCTTATAGACCTGTCGACCAGTTTTATAATCCTCGAATACATTTTAATTCTAATTATGCTACTTTTAGGATCGAGGGCCACCAGTTCATCAGTTGAATTACTGTTGTGTTTTACCCTCCTTAAATGAAGTTTTTTGTTCGTTTGTTGGCGGTGAAAGTCAGCGAACGGGGAAGATATCATATAATTTTTTACCCTGGTATTGTTGCATCAGCACCCCACACTTTCTCCCAACCCCTATGCTCAGGCCGCCGATTGCAGACAAAAAAAGAAATATTTTCGACGGACAGGGAGTGACTTACGAGCAATAAGACTCATAACCCGGGGTCAATTCAGGGCCTGTCACGAACTCCAGTCACTCACTTATGTTTGACTCTTTCCTTTAGTCATTTGAAAATATTCTCATTTGATGAATAGTAAAAGAAAATTGCTCAGGAGGTTATTCATCAACCGGAATCATCAGTGTAAACAAAGAACGACTTTTTTTCATGTTCCTCCCTGCCAATGAGAAGCATATTGCGAAGAATTGAACTAGAAGTGAATTAGTAAATGTCAATAATAATGTCGGAAGAGTCAATCAAGTAAGTCGGACCAGACCTCTAAGAGGGCGTGGAAGAGCATATTCTTTTGATAAATTACATTTACTGCCCTCGCATGATACTTAGGAAGATTTGAATCATTTTACTTCTTCAGAAAACTTTGTGTCACAAGATTTAATTTTTCTGTAGACTTCTGTTTAGTACATTGTTTTGCTGTCCTCGATCACTTCTTTTAGATTTCATTGGCGCCTATCAGCTTTTCTCTCTGACGTTTCGCACACCTTTTTAGCTCTTGCGTGAACACGGCTGTACAGAAAAAAAAATGAACAATTAGCATTTTCGAAGCGACAAGTATGGTGATACGGATAACAGATAACAGATATTCAAACGAATTTTACGATTTAGTCACTGGTACACATATTTCATATGCTCTGATAACAAAGCTGTAAGAGAGAGTTTTACCACTAGCTAATTTAGATTGTGGCAGAATATCACATTATGCAAACTTTTTTTCAGTGGACATTCCTTTATAACTACAAAGGATGAACCTATTTGTGCATTTGAAATGTCTAAGGCAGCTTACCTCGTCTAGGTATCCTATCGAAATTCTGCTCGTTCTGAGTCACTAATGCTAACTTCCCATCCACTTGAAACCGTCGTTTGCCCTTTGGCGGGAATGGACGTGGAAATGGACCGATGACACCGTCACAATCTAGTATTATAAAGGCCACGAGGACATTCAATGTCAGAACAGCTGATATCTTGGACACCATCATCCCTTAGATGTGACACTGGTATATCAAACACTGCTAGATCAGACAGAAGAAATTTTCAAGGAGCAGCCTGTCATCGGTTAATGTCATACCCGGGAAGCCATGAATCATTCAACGTCATCAAGGATTCTACTGAGTCAACTACGCAGCCGGCCAATTACTGATTTTGTATCAACGACTTTCGTCTTAGTCAAGTGTCAAGTAGCAAAGCAGCGGTAGCAATTGTTTCAAGGTCAAGATTCGACTATCTGTAACACTGTGATGGAAACGCTGAGAAATTCCTTTCTAAAACTTTTATTTAAAAACAAACTAAAAAAGAAGATTAATTTTCGGAAAACACATCTCATCTGCAATTTTTATACTCGTTCTACGTAAATCCGACGTTTTATTTTAAGTTCTGCCAGAGGTTAACCGTTAAAAATGATTGATTTGACACGTGGCTATTTTTCCAGCTGTTATTGACTTCCATTGTATACCACCACTTCATTCATGAAATCATAAAGAAGTTGTGTGCTTAGATAATTGTTGCAAACTAGAATGAGAAGAGGGGTTGAGGGCTTTTGCAGGTTAAAGAAACCCAGAATTACTGAACTAAAAAAGGCTTTTTTTAAGGTTCTTCCCTGAGGCGAAAGGAAGCTTTACTTGAGGTAACTGTCCATCCGGCAATGGATGGCGTTGGCTTTAATTAATTTAACTATGAAAAGATGGTAAGGGTTAGTTAAAGAGGAGCGAAGGTTTTCACTTCCCAGTCATATAAGAACGACAAAGGGGACTTCGTAAAATAAGGATGTGGACAGCACATCACGAAAAATAAAAACAAAGTAAAAAGATAAATAAATGAAAAGTGACATCTGTCTAAGAAGAAACCTATTCAATTCAATATCAGAAACTCCCCGTAAAATACTGGGAGAAATTCCGAAATTGCAAAAATACTTCTTATTCCATTCACCGCGCACTCATGTATTTATTTCTATGTTTATCCTATCAGTTGAGCTTAAATACGAGTTTACCTCTATGAATATTGACCCGAAGGCAATGTGCCAAAAGGTGTTAGTAATCTTCGTAAATTTCATCGGCGCACTCATGTGTAATCTCTGTACCTGTGGCATTTCTGACCTTTTTGCTGTCAAAAAGTAACTAACGATGAAGCTGAAGACACAGGATACTGGACTGCCATCTCTTTTAAACAGATTTCAAATTGTGTAAACAATATCCATGCCTTCCGCACTGTGTCGTTCTTTTTCTTTCTACATCATTTTTAAAGGTGTATACTGAATGATTTAGCAACTGAATCTCACTCCAAGATATTTTTTTGAAGAAAAACCATTTTCTGACATAAATCACGCGTGGCACAACGACAATGAAAACACATATAATCAAAATTCTAAATATGTTTTTAATATTCTTGTCATCTATTTCATTTTTATCATTTAATTCTCTTTTCATACATTTTTTTTTTCATTTTCTGCTGTTCTCCGTCCGCACATGCGTTTTACGCCGTTGCAAAGAAGGTACATTCTAATGAAACAGAACATATTCGTGCAAACTGCAAGGCAAATCAGGTATCTTTGAGCATTAAGATCTAGACAAGGAGAGAAGAGGAAAGAGCTCACGATACAAAAAAAAAATGTCATTTACTTTTTTCATTCACTGTGCAGGAAGTCAACTTTTACCAGTGCGGCTTTCGTCTATACAATAATTACAGTCACCAACAGGGAATTTGTCCTGTTCTATTCAATTCTTTATTCAAGTAATTGCGGTTCAAAGTTTCTCAGAGTTCCCCGAGAAGGTGAAGTCAAAGGTTATGCTAGACTTAGCCCTCTTGCTTAATTTTCGGATTCTTCGACCTTGATTATTGCTTCTTGAAGTAGTCGTGTAGTAGAAGTGGGAAACAGCCCAGAAGATCTAAATGATAAGACCTCCAAATTACTCTAGAAACCCAAACAGGATCATTGTTGTAGGTCGACCGTTCCTAATTCTAGTCTTCTTCAAAAAATGATATTTACTAACATCTAAATTCGATAATTCTTCAATCGATCTACCTAAAAGAAACTCTTTGTGAGGGATAAGCCTTGAATAACGATGGACTTTAAACATGGGGAGAACCATGAGGAATAAAAAAATACTTCGAAACAACAACTGATAGAGACATCCATCATTGTATCACTTGACACAATATGTTACGAAGTTTCTATTTTAAGAGTGAGATTTAATCTTAAATCATATCTTCTGTTCGATATCATAGAATAAAAATGCAATTCTTTTCCCCGCAAAATATCTCGTGATGGTTTGTAATGAACAAAACAAAAATATCCCTGAGCATCGGATCATAACGTTGAAATAAATAGTATGTCTACCTATGGGATCCAACTGAGCCATAGCATCAGGCCATTGCTCTGCAAAGGCCTTCATATGCATTCACTCTATTATTATTATTTATTACTCTGCCACAAATCATTAATTATAGTTTACAAGTTATCAATCAATAATTATAAAATAATTGCAATATCACATTTATCTACAAATTTGTCCACAACTGAAAAAAATTTAAGTAATGTAGCGCGGAAACCCAATAGAGCTTAACACTCTGTACAGAGAGTAATAAGTCCAGTTGTCTTGTCTTTTCAGAGAAAACTATCCAACAGTTAGGTAACTCTGGAACACCCAATTTATAACGATTCAGTATTTAACTCTCCACCACCCTCACAGGAAAACCAGTTTCAAATTCGTCACCGCCGGTTTAAGCCTCGTTTTCGGACCAAGTTTAAAAAAATCACTAGCAACGCAGCGATTCAGTGGCTTGGGACAGCCTATGAATATGTCGTCAAGGCACACCTTTAAGATTCCAGTTTCACCAAGCTGTCATATGTTTTCATCCAGAACCAAGTAATATACCCAATATACAAAGTTAAGAATAATAAACGTTGGTAGGAAGATGTAACGAGACCATTTATCTAGAGTGTTGCTCTCGTTCTCTATAACTGTCAAATGTTCCTGCGCCCGAGAAATGGAGGCTTTTTTTTCAACATCGACAATCGATCGCAAATTAGAGAACTCTCCACTTGATGTCTTTTCGGGAGAGGATATTTCCGCTGGATATGGCAATTTCTGATATAAGAAGTTTGGTGGATATAAGCGATGAGGGATATTCCAACTAACGTAAAATCAACAAAGCAACTGGATGAATGAGTAATGAACTTGAAGTGTTGCATTCTGTCACGTAAAAGTTTTTTAGAAATATTTTAGTAATCACTACTGAAAAAGGAAAATAATTCTGAGGCTTCAAAGAATTGGGATCCATGTCAATACCCATAATTGGAATAGGATGCTTCTTTCTTTTTCGTCTCTGGACTAGTTTATTCGTCAGACCCCACCAGTAGTTTTGGGTCTACGGTATCTGTGTCAGAGGTATCAGTAGCTGTGTTACTGTAGCGTGTAAAAGTCAAAATGATCAATCAAGTTCCTCAATAGATTGATTACTTTCTCATTAATAGAGCGGGTAAGTTTTTACAGAAACTGTGGTGTTGCGTCGGTGGGGGGATATTGAAGAAATAAGAAACGCGCCGAGTGCATTGTTGAGTTATATAAGCACTTGGAAATTTTTAAGAACACGAGAGAAGTGCGGAGAAGAATTCTGCTCGAGTGTTCTTAAAAATTCCCAAGTGCTTATATAACTCAACAATGCTTGAGAGACAAGTTTTTTTATTTCTTTTTTATAATTAAGTTCGGATATAACGCGCGCTATCATTGGTTGAAAGGGCTGCTATATGAGAGTATAGAGCATAGAGCAGAGCTAAAGCTGTCACGCCATTTGCCAAATTGTACGATGTCCGACCTTTTCCGGAACTTCTTTCTAGCTTTTTTTCGTTAATTAAAAGTGAATTTCAGGAAGAAGCGATCTGGTATGTAGCAACAGAAGAACCAAACAAAGGTTTCTAAACATGCCAAGTACCGTAATCTACGTTATTATAACGTGAGCAGGGACGAAAATCCTCAAAGAGTGAACGAAATGGACAGTCCGAGTTTTGAAGGTTTTCATGCTCGGTTAGATTATGCAAGCTTACGTATGCTAATAAGAATCAAACACAGGTAACCCTCGTTTAGTATAAAAAGTTTCGTGATCAAAAACAGAACAGAACAAAACACGAATGATGAAAAACGTAACCAAACTGGCACAACTGTTAAAATTCATACTAATCATGATGGTGTCAGAGCGACCGCGATCATGCTGAGGTACATCGCGGCTAGCTCTTCATGGCGATCTTCGGTCATCGCAATGAAGCAAGCCTCAGAAATTACATCGGCCGACCTTCGAGTGAACAACTAATAGCTCTGATGCCCTATCCGATGCGCTGAGTGGAAGGCCACATCAGTCACTGCAGCCGCGTTCTACGGCTCTGTCGTCCTGAGCAATCTTCATGTTTCGGTGACTTTCGGCTGTCGTTCATTTTGTTTTCTAATTGTCATGCGAAAAACTTGCGTGTTTTTATGAGCCACGATTCGGCCGAATTTCACTGAACATTTCACTTTCAGATTCTGTATTGGAGACGAAAAAAACTTTAGGCAAGTGTTAAAATTGGACCTGCCGAACTATTTCAGTTTGTAAACTATTTCAGAATGTGAACTTTGGTGGTTTTTGAACCTGGATTGTTTGACATTTTTGACAGCTGTAGTCTTGTACAGCCAATCAGATTATTTGAACCATTCTAACAGGGATTCTGATTGGCTTATTGTAGCGTTCTTTATGAGAGTACAGAGCATACTGACGGCACTGTTGTTAGTATAGGTAATCACATGATTTCGAGTGCAATTTGGAATAAATATGTACGTGTAAATTTTCTCAAAGACTAACAAAGTTGCACTTAGCACTTAGGAAGCAGGTAGAGCACCCAAGAAGTAGGAAGGAACACTCGACTACGTCTCGTGTTTCCTCCAACACTTCTTTCGTTCTCTAGCCGCTTTCTTAGTGCTTTACAACAGAACAGAGCATAGTCAAGGCTTCTCTATTTGTTAAATAAAATGTATCGTGAATTGCGCGCGCTCGTACCGATAACGAAGACTGCGTGCATCATATCTCAACAGTGCACTCGTGTGACGTAAGGTGCGTGCTTTATGGTAATATAATGAACTCGTTCTGACCAATCACGGCGCGCGCATTTCTCTGAACATTTTAAAAAGTAAGATAATTTTGGTTTTATAAACTGAGTTGATGATGTATATTGCCTTCGTAAAAAGTTTTAAAGCTGACGTTTCGAGTGTTAGCTCTTCGTCAGAGTGAATGGCGAGGGGCTAACGGTCGAAACTTCAGCTTTAAAACTCTTTATGGTGGCCAATCTACACAATCAACTTAGTTGATAAAACCAAACAGCCAAAGTCACTTTCTCTATATTATCACAGTTTTACATTTGACACCTACATTCCTTCGCCTTAAATGAAACTTGCTTGTGTAGTTGACGACAGCATATTCGGCGAATGAACCAAAAACCAACAAGTAACACACAATTAGGTACCAGTCTAGCGCCCTCATATATGACACTACTGGTAAGGAGTCTTGCCCCAGACCCATTATAAGCGTAGTCATCGTGAGAACTGTTGTAATTCCAAGGGATACCCGAGCGGGAACAGAGTTCTTGTCAACGAAAAAAGAAAGCCAGGAAACGAAAACAACCAGCATTGCGGGAACGTATATTTTTGCCAAAAAAAAGCTTAAGCGTCGAACGAAAATGAAGCGAACACCAAGGTACGAAAAGTGACCTGGAATGTAAAAGGATATACTTCTAAGAAACGGAAGGAAAAGAATAATTTAAAAAAATCACCATTATGATCTTAAATCCTCATCAGACGTGTAGTCTTAAAAGTGAGCGAAATTTAAAAATGGTGATGATTACACCTTTAACCCATGTGTTTGTTACAAAAAATCACCATTCTTACGTCAGTTTTTTTCTTTGTGACGGTCAATTTTATGTGGAGCCAACATCCTTCCATAAATGATGATATTGAGGTGTGTTGTTATATGCTCAATGTTATAATCTAAAGTGATGCTTCACCTGTGGCGTAAGTTCTTGTTCCATTAAGATAGCGAAATGTTTTGAGGGAAAATTGTGCGTTTTCTTTAGCATTTCCATATGAAACAAATTCATCATTCCAGCTGTAGATCAAATCCCGTGTTGTGAAACCATCTAAAAACCAAAATAAAATTTGAAATCAGTACTTTAAGTATTACCAGTATATGTCTTACATACAACAGTACACTTAAAAATGTCTTAAATCCTCATCAGACGTCTAGTCTTAAAAGTGAGCGAAATTTAAAAATGGTGATCATTACACCTTTACTGTAAGTTAATAACTAACAACTAGCGAAATGAAGGTCACAAATCTGTGTATCCATTGGGAATCTCCTGAAGTCCATCTCACAAGAACAGGTCAAGGTTAACCTAACAAAACAAAAAGTATACTATTTTGATCATGATCATTTTTTCTTTCCTTTTCTTTGGTACCGTCCTGTGTTGTTTTGTTCTGCTTTTCTTTATGTTTTTTTCTGACTGTTTTTTTGTTTACAAGTTAATAAGGAGATAAATAAAAAGTTGAAAAAACAAAGATTTCATTGCAGTTGAGCCAACCTACGAGATTACTTAAAGAAACCGTAAAAACGGAACTTCCTGTCGTCCTCCACTAACAGTTAACATCAGATCAGTTTTCCATACCTGGTGCTCACCATCACACTTCCGTCAGGATGAAGACGCAGGAACTTATTCAAAACTGTTAAATGGTGTAGTCTACCGTCGAAGCCATTTTCAAAGTACGTGTCTGGCTGCCATAAGACATCAGGGAGTTCACCACTGAAAGTCACAGGCCCATTCAGTTTAGGGAAAGCTAATCTTGCGTCTTTCCAATATTGCCGAAAATACATCTCCATTGTGTATTCCTTACAGGTCAACCGAAAAATAAATAAGTTAAAACTACAGGACATGACCATGCCTTTAACAGGGCTGTAAAAGTGGAATAAAAGGCGCTCGTCATAAAAGTTGAAGTATCTCGTTGTTCAGAAAATACAGACTGAGCTACCCATGATTTGATCTTACCATATCTGACTCTCTAAAATTTCCAATATACACAATATGAATGCCAACTTTAACTTGCACTGCTTCACCTGAAAATAAATTTACCAATACATTGAATGGTTGACGAAGTGAAACATTGTGAGTAAAATCGAGCCGCAATGAAGGTAATGAATGGCATGTCTTACCTCCTGACATCGGTCGCAGTAGTTTTAAATGGCGTCTGTTTTCCCTGTCATTCAAAAACTTTGTGAAATTTTCTACTGAATCGTCGTGTTCGAGGTCTCTGCTTAAGACAATTAAAATAGAATTACTCTGTTATTTGCACTTTGAAGTCTACCTTCTAGTCAAGCTTGATTACAGAAAGAATCCTCAAAGCAAGTCGGTTCGAAAAGCTATTATTTCAATCGGGAAATTCTAAAAATTAAAAGTTTTAATAATCGCTCTTTGCTTCGCTTTCTCGGTCACCTCTGCTGTAAATCTGTCCAACAGTTCCTAAAGTTATTTGAATCAACCGAAGTAATTTCCTTACACCTTAGTAAGAAAGACTAAGAAAAATAACTAGCCGCACCTTGTTAATCTTGGTAAAAAGGAATTTCCGACGCAATTTTGGTCTGTGTAATCGGAATTTGATTTTGTCGTTTTTATTACTTCACTTTATAGTTTTCAGAGCCACGAGTATCCTTTGCCATATTTGCTTTTTACTTGACGCTTCAAATCCAGGAGGAACTTGAAAAAGTACTGCTTTGTTTTCTCGCCTCGCAGATTTAGGTAACTACGGGCTGTAACACAGTTGTGCGCACGAACGTTCTAATGAAATATACGTCACGATCAAACTTTCTCGGATTGATGGGTTTCCATATTCTCTTAGTTATGGTGTGCTGAGCGCACTCGGCGCGTTGCACACTCTGTTTAACAAAATATGGGCGATCAGAAATTGCAAATGTTTTTTATATTTTGTTGACGTAGATCTGAACTTTGTTTGTGGTTGATTTAAATTTGCAATATTTACACAAGATACATTGCTTCCTAAGTAAGAGGACACAAAATGGAATTCGTTGAATTACATTTTCTTCTTTGAGCTTTAGCATGGACAATATCGACAGATTAATTATAGTTCAATTTTAGTTATACACATCGCAGTAAATCAATATTTAAAAGATAAAACCAGCCGGAAACGCTCGAAATGACAATTTTTTTTCAAAAAGCAGGTGTGTAGTAGTTTGCCTAAAAGCATGAACATATGAAATAAAGAAAATCATAACTAGGAGAAACCTTCGTTCGTCACATTTCCATTAAAATTTGGTTAAGTTTACCGGTATTGATATAATTGCACAGTGGTTGCATACCACTCGCATTTATAAATGAACGATTGATATGTAGAAATCCGTGTTTATTGCAAATAAGGGGAAAAATTTGAGACAGAAAGCGAATAGTTTCGATGATTTATTTCTATTATCTCCATGTTACACACCACGACAGTCAAAAGGAACCAAAATCAATCTGTGTACCTTATATACATTACTCTCACAAAGACGAAAGCCTAATTGTAGTTACGAATGGCACAAGTATCATCACAATCTTTAGATATATTCTACAATTTGTGAATCTAAGGTTTAACCACTTTATATTTGTACAAATTTCGGTGCCAATATTTATATACATGTTTCCAAAAAGGCATATATTTTTTATTTTATCATTCTACCTATGCGTAATTCCTTCATTCGAATAGTTTTAATTACGCCTGATGGGACATACCTAAAACTTATTATTTTTCTCTTTAAAGAAAGGTTGGTCATTCATTCAATTGTTGAGGATATAAAACGCAAAGTCTGTTTAGGTGGTATGATGTGTTTGTTACAAAAAAATTAACTCACCCGTCCTCGTTGAAGGCCACACCAGAACATCGGCAAAAAATCAGCAGTGTAATTATTGCACGCTTCAAGTTAGGCATGAGATCGTTGTGATTCCCTCACTTCTCTATGTCGAAGATTAAGCTATAATCCGTGGCATAGCATTAACAAGTAAACATATTCAAAATAGTATTACATATTCAAAACATATTTTAATGATGCTTATTTTTCCCTGACCGGAAAAAGAAAATTCTGGTTCCGGCTTTTTTTTATTTCACCAAAAAGATCAAGCGACCGAACGAGGATGGTGACAACTAAGAGGATAAAAGTGTCGCGAGGACGCAGAGGACGGATAAATTACCCAGTTTCTTTTCTCTACGTTTCCCTTCATGTTCCTCTGAAGACGTTGGAACTTTTTTGTTTAATCTGAGATGCTTAGAGGTTTTTTTATGGACTTCAGTTGCGGTAATGTAAAGTTGCACGCTTAAATTGCGCCATTTTAAGGTGTTAATAGTAAAAAATGCGAGAACAGAGATTTGCAAACCTTCTAAGATTCCATATTTCCAAAGTAGAAATATTCAAAGAATAAATTAATCAACAGTAGTCCGCGAGTGGTATTTTCAAGAGATGTCACTTTAGAATCAAAGCAAATATTCACAAAATAAAAGTAAAAGAAATATAAATTTTGACATGAAGTGTCAAAAGCTAACTCTTCCTAAATTTTTAACTTCATTATTTATTTCTCAAACTTTAGGTCTCTGATCGTAATGTGGTAAAATTCTGAATGATATCTAAATGCTGCCCTGTCCACTGAGTCAGATTCACAAGCCATAGTCAACTATGAGCGACGGCGGCCCATACGATATCTAGCTAGGCAAGCCATCAGGTGCCAAACTGCATTCAGAAAAACCTTTAAGAGAAGACAGACAATACGCCACCAGCAAACCCCCTGAAATCAAAATCGTAATTATTTAAAATCACTTCGGGTAAATACTATGTGATATCCAAAAAAATTAACCTCGGCAAGTTCTATCAGTCGCATATTAATTGGATATTTAAATAACTCTAGTTTTGATGAAATTAATCGTCATCCTGTATAGTGATAGAATATTCTTACTGTGCTTTGAGTAAATAAGTGATCTGGGCTGGGTTGTTCAAAGCTGGGTTTAGATAACCCAGGGTTAGTGTGAAATCGGATTTCAGCTCTGGAAGCTTTAAAGGAAAATTCAGTAGAATTCTTTTTGTCAACAATTTGATGATTAGATGCTCCATATAGAGTAGAGGAAAATGATCCCAAAAAGGCTATCGAACAAAGAAGTATAGAAACCCAGATTAAAATTTAACCCTGGGTTAGCGCTAATCGGCTTTCGAAAAACTGGGCCCTGGGTTGTAATGGTAATAACGGCTTTGCCATAAACTAGAGGATAAAATCCTACACCGGCATTTAAAACTTTTCCACGTCCCTAGCAAGGGCATGGCTTATTTTCTTATGTTCCTCAATTTGAAAAAGAAGTAGTTTCAAAGTTTCATTTTAATAATTATCTGTGCATTTCCAAAGGACAGGTGCTGTTCAGCAACTCGGAGTTGATTACCACAGTGAGATAGCTATAGGAGGTCCAAGAGTTTTCCTTTCCACTGATAATCAGGCTGATGCACCATAACGAACCAATACCACTAAGGCAAGATAAAGGTAGAATTGAATAAAACTGCTTCCTAGGCGTTAATTGCCTGATTTATTGGCACATGTCATTTGTATTAAATTATGTTTTAAGCCTAACAGTAAGAAAAAGTTAAGTTGATTTCCAGCAATCTTTGCAAAGTTCGCATGACGATAAAATGTTCATGATAATTATTCCTTGCTTTATTTACTGAACTACTCCTTTCATGGTATCTTTAATAACATCGTTGTAATAAAATATATCCATGATTACAACTTGACGTCAGTGACATCGTCAATGCTAGAGCCAAAATTAGTACAGGTCATCGTATGGGGCCGAGTTGAATTTTAATTCAACTCGGCCCCATTAATTCTTAAAAGAATTAATGTCACACATGTTTCAGAAGTTTCAGAAATATTCCGAGTCGCCCAACAAGTAATTTTTCCAGGAAAAATTGCCAAAATTAATGAAAATTGCCCTGCACCTCAGCGAAACAGTAGTTAGCAATTTTTTCCTCATTGTCATAAAAATAGAGATGTTGCCTTGTCGTTCGGCGTTTCAGAATATTGTGAGGCAGTCGATAGGTGCGGCAGTTATAAAAGTTTCCATTTTACCTGTCATTCAAGCAACTACTAGTCACCAAGCTATAACTATATGATTAGGTAGTCAACATGGAGAGCATTGAAAAAAACATAATTCTCGAAGAAACATCTCAAAGCAATATGAACACCATGAAGGTTTCAACGTCAGCGTGCAGGGTGATGCTTTTTCCTACAAACATTTGTGCAGACTACTTGTTACTATCAGTGCACTCCCTAAACATAAATAAGTCGAAAATTGATATTAAAGTTCTAGCTGAGAAATAAAACGAAAAAGGGTTACCTGGCTAAGCTGTTGGTTTGAAAGAATACAAGAATTCAAGGTTTAAAGATACTCTCTCTTACGGCCGGCCAAAAATCTTTAATAAACGCGGCAGAATTTCCTATTTACTGTATATTTAGTTAAGTTGTTTTTAGAATTTAGACTTATTTTTGTCTAACCGACTCATTTCAATAAATTTACCTTTTAAAATAGTCATTATCAAATTAGCACGTGCACTCCTAGCACTGTTAGTGACGTAATAATCAGGAGAAGGTATCATAATCATACGATCCACGACATGTTACGAACGAAGGTATATGCCCACAATGGAGAATCTTCCATCGGAGTTGCTTACGCACATCTTTGGTTTTCTGCACCCCGTTTACGATAGGCTTCCGAGACTTTCTGCCGTTTGTCAAGAATGGAAAGCAATCATCCAGAATTCACCTTGTCTGTGGGAACATATTCACCTGAAGACTCGTCAGTTGTCAGAAAGAGAGAAAAACATCATTTTTAAATGCCTTAGAGAATATGAGGTATATATCAAGTGCCTTAGAGTGGCTTCTTTAGACGTTGTGTTCGGTTACGACTTTTGGTTCTTCATACGACATGTGACATTGAAAATGACAAACCTAACTTGTCTTGACATTCCAACCTTTCCATGGAACCTAGGACAATTTACAACTTTCCGAAGCGCCGAAAGTTTAAAAGAACTTAATCTTTACGGCTTTTGGGATTTGTCAGACATTCAGTGGACGCAAAACTACACACAGCCGGTGTCACTGATCAACCAAAGACATCTTAAACAAGTCAGAGCACGATGTACAAAACTGGAAGTTTTGAAGCTGTCTATCAACATGCTCCGGTTGACAGATAGCGCTCTAATGGAATTTTTAAACGCTCTCGGTAATCTCAAAGAATTGCAAATATCTGCATATAACAGCAGTGAAGCAAATATTCCTTTGAATCGATACACTATGAAATTAATGAAGTGTTTGTTATCTTCAAGTTACATTTCAATAATCACAAAACTAGACCTTCGCTACATTTCCATCGGTCACAAGGAGCTCAGACTCTTACTTAAAGTTCTCCGATCACTGAGGGATTTGAAACTTTGCTTTCTTGACATTCATCGCTGTATTACAGGCTATCAATATCTCGAATCAAAAACCCTGCAATATTTCGAGTTGGATGGTCTACCGGCCAAAAACATAGTGCGTTTAAAGTGTTCCATGCCTAAGTTGAGGCGGCTGAGAATTAATAGATGTTCCAACTTGAAATCCCTTCAGGTGGTGTCTTCCATGCTAGAGCACTTGTCCCTGAACTATCTTGCCAACCTGCGGTCATTGCATGTTACATCTATAACTTTAAAACTTTTTGAGGTTGCGAATTGCGAATCACTTACACCAAAGACGATCGACAAACTTCTGCAGATGAACAGAAGAATTGAACATTGTACTATCAGGGGACGTCTGGTAGATTTTCAAGTTTCCCAAGTGGAAATCAGTAGAGTTTTGACAGATCTGTGTCTGTGGATAACCGATTTTAGCAAAGTGCAAACCATGCAAGTACACTGTCCAACACTAAGGTCATTTATGTGTAACTATCACGCCCCAGACAGAGAGTTCTCTGGTTCTATACACCAAGAGTGCTGCGTGGATATTCGATGTAACGTTCTCCTTGATGCGTATATATCCCTACCGCAAGTCAAATCAATCGAGATAAAATGTGCGTCTGTTGTGCATCTTCTACTTAATATAGGAAAAAAGAAACTCGACATGCCTTGTCATGTAGTGCGAGTGTCAGCCGATGCTAAAATACACACTGTGTGCGCTAAACAATGCAACTTCGCTAGAGTAGAATTTACAGCAGATGAAGTTAGTAATTTGGATTTCGATCAATGTCGAATTAATGAAGGACTAAAACTTGCTGGAAACTGTGTTGACTTGATCTGTATTAGAAATATGGTGAAATCACAAGAGAACATTGACATCATTACGCAGTGCAATGAAATAAGGAAGGTAATCCTATCGGAATGTGACAAGCTTTGTACAGTCACTGTAATACCTGAAAAAAAGCTAGTCTACAGCAAAACAGGTCTCAAAAAAACACAGCAGATCACAGAGGACCATTCATCTTCTGCGTCTGATGCACATGCTTTTGACTGTGGGACAGAAAGACAACAAGGTGTGTTGAACAGCACATCTTCGGAAACAGCCGTCGATGGACCAAGCAGATTGGTAAACACGGTTGCTACATTTAATTGTCCTTGTTTCCGTGGCTTGCTATTGAATCACACAAAAGAAAAAAAGTAAAGGAAAATCTGGGATCAGAATTTAAAGATTCATCCTCTGAAAACATCCTGAAGAATTCAATTCAATTCAATTGAAAATCAAAATGATTATTTTATTTTTTCACGGCGGTAACAATTCAACAACACAAATCAAGAGTTTAAATTCTCTTGCAAAAGTATCATCGAACAGTCGATTGAGGAGTGTTCAGCGAGTATCATGTCTTCACATTGAAGGTGAAGTGAATTACTCGCTAAAATCTCTTTCAAAAGATAAATTTATGGTGTAAACCAATTACCTGCTTTAATGAGCGTCGATTTTGTAAAGGAAAAAGGCCGACTAAGAATGAACATACATCCGAATTATCATATCTCTATGATGTAATTTTACGTTAGGATGGTCTGTGTAGGGGAAAATTGACATCAGTCGTTGCTTTCAGTCTAAACTGATGACCCGACAGATCATTGGTCAAGATTCTCCTTTTAGGCTTTACCACTGAGCCACTGGGTTGATATGTGACATGTATCCTACTAGGATCGACGATGTCGAGAGCCTCTTGTGAGGCAAAAACGTAAGAAAGATGGCGAATTGAAAGCTAAGAAATGAATTAAAATATGTTTTTGCGTCTTGTCAAATACGTGTCTCACGTTCGTGTCAAAACGAAAAAAAATTTGTTGATTTTATTTCCAAGCTTCGAATTCAACATCTTTAATTGGTTCTCACTTATGATCTGTAGTAGAACAGGCGCAGAATAAAAACAGATTTCATGCGGCTGTGCTTCTGTTCAGTTATAGATCGCAGATGACGTCAAAATGTGGTAAGAATGTCAATGACACACTTGGCTGCGGCTTGTATGCCTCTTATTTGTTCTTACCACATTTTGACGTCATCTGTCACTCGGTAACATGGAATCTGTTACGTCATATTTTGGCTGGGTTTTAACGATGAGCCGGGCGAAGTTCTCTGGGACGTCTAATTGTTTTTGGATACTTTCTTTTAGGCTTCTACATTTGTGAATACCAATAGATCTAAAAAAGGGCTGACAAATGAAGAGCAGACTTAGAACTTAACCTTGTAATCGTTTTATTTCCATCATTACTCTTTAATCTTTTTCCTTGCGATTTTACGATATCGAAGATTCAGACTATTCCATTAAATAACCTCTCCTCATCATTGTCTCGTCCTCCAGTTTGCAACCAAGACTGCGGGCGGCGGTGCACAAACTCCGTTTGTAGTTCTGCGAAGCACCCTAAATTAAATAACTTTAATGTTAAAAAAATAACTTAGCAGAGACCCATATTTCTGTATTGTTGGTGTCATAGGGAGACAGAATCAGCTCAAACGAAGAAAATCAGATTAGGAAAAAGTAACTTAAGCATTCAGTTAGAACAAATGTTAGTTAAGTTATTGATTAGCTTTAGAAGAGATAGTAGCAGAATATAGTAATGGGCAATATTACAAAAGACTGGCATTTTATTTCAAATTCTCCATCTTAAACAACTTACAGGTGCGGTGTTCCTTTTCCCTGGAACTGTTCCAGTGAAGCCATCAGCCTCAGATATCAGAAGTAACAGTGTAATAGCAATGAAAATCAAAGTTGTCACTTTCGCTGCCATCCTCAGCCACTTGAATTTACCTATTTGTTGACTTCACTGCACGTTGATACTTGACACAATATGCGCCTTGACAAAATACTCGCTCTAACGGCATTATATAGTACCCCTTTTACCATTGGAACGATTAAGGTGACCTCTTCAATGTTATAATGTGCACACAAATAAGTTTTTGAAATTGGTTCACTTTCAGATTGTCTCTCCAATTTTTACGAGAATTAAAAATTAGTGAACGCAAAAAAAAGGCATATCAAAGCATCGGATATTAGAAACAAAAGACATAAGCAGCCAATTGCTCAACAGTCAATCAATAATCTAACTGAAAAGTTGTTAAGTTAACGATACTCGTGAAAGCATGAAAATCATCCCAATGTGTCTATGCAAACTTCCAAAAAACATTTCGCAGAGTGGTGTAGTGAAACTGGTTGTAATTGAAAATGCCCAAGTTGCTGAGCTTATACTTAAAAATTTATTTGACTAAACATGAGTTCTCCTGGAGAAGTTGAATGTTTCACCATCCTGTGAAATAAAAAAGGAAGTCACTCTTTAAGCACCTGGTTCAAAACAATATTTGAATGATGCTCATTTAGATCCGCAGGTTTTTCTATTGTTCGCAATTTTTTTTGTTTACCTATCCCGATCAACCACTAAAATTAACTCTCTGTTGATTTTCCTTCTTTTTATAATGATATTGCAAACAAAATGTCGGTCCCTTTATGCCAAAGGTAAATAACAGAAATGAGAATCCCCAGCAGGGGGTTCTGCGTTATCCACAGGCGGACAGGCTTGATCTTATTCCAGATCAACTTCTACTTATTTACAGATTATTTTAAGACTGGCGGCCTTCTGTTGTTGACTGATGAGGAGTGTGATAGATTTTTATCTTCCTATTTCCGACATTAGTTTACTTAGTTACAATTTTCAGAGTGCATGCAATGTTAATGATTTTTGAATTACCTTAAAACACAAAGTAGGCGAGAGCAGACATAAGTCTGTCACTGCTTTAAAAAGATGGCAAAATCTTTTGAAACGTGCGTTTGAATTATTAACGTTGTAATGACACTACTAAGGAATGAAACGATTAAGCTAACTCATTAGAAAGTCCATAGTCATTATTTTTCGAAGAAATAGAGACATAATAAAGAAAATACAATCGTGACTTGCGCATGTCCAACGTCATTCTCTCCTTCTTTTTAAGCGAATATGGTTTCTAGAAGTAAGTAATAGTATAGGGTCACACAATGTCACAGCAGTTGGTAGACGTATTCAGAGTAAAAGCTTTTGAAATTTGGCCGGCTGTTTCTCTCTTAAGTTATACTATATCATGTCAACCTTCAGTTTTTTCAGTTGAAAACCAATTAAGTTTGTCTCTTACCGGTGGACCCTGAGGCTTACACTTCAAGTTAATTTTAGATGAAAAGCAATAAAATAATTTGAATTTTCTGTGTTTTATTTATAAGAAACGAGACCGCAAAGATATCAGAATTACTTCAAAGGAAATCGAAAACAATTTTATGATTTGGGTTGCAGCTGCATGTCCAGTTATCTGCAATTCATGTGTGTGATCTTAAACATATTTAGATTCCAAAGAAATTCATCAGTAACTAGTGCATGTGACATATAAGATCAAGCAAGTTTGAATCCTTACGCTGGTTATTTAGTTTGCTTGAATTTTCGAGGATTGACTATCGGTAATTGCAAGTGTTCATAGCGTCTCATTCAAAACACCTGACCATAAAACTCGAAGTATTGATAGTTATCTTGAGTCGTTGATGTTCTACTAACAGATCTCATTAATTATTACAAACACTTAAGAGGAGAGGTAGTAATGATGATGATTTATTGAAAACAGCCAAGTGTAAAATGAAAGCATATTTTCAAACTACTTTTCAAGTCTACGAAAAGCAGCTCTTGGAACTTTACGTTGTGTGATATTTCGTCCAGATTACTGAAAGCGATAGGATATGAATATTACCATGATTTTGAATCATTTCGTGGTGACCTCTGAATGTAAAATAAATGTAAAGGCAAATGTAACTACTATATATATATATATATATATATATATATATATATATATATTATTGAATAGTGGAAGCAAAAATTAAAAAAAATATGAAAAATCACTTGAAGTTTGTCTTCCTATGTGTAAGGTGTGGTTCATTATTAGCACTAGCTAGTGATAAGCATTCATAGAGAACAAGTGGCAAGTTGCGCTTCTTGTCGGTGGGTGGTTTAATTATGTCGCCGTCCACAGAGTGAGAGTTATCAGATGTTTGGAAACACACAGGACTGGCTGCACATGCTTTGTTTCTCCTCGGCAGGGATGTTCTCATAAAAGCGCTTAGGAAGTAGCTGACGCTCCAAACTCTACTGATACGCGACAAATCTGATTATACCCCGCCGACTGAATGGTAACTATGCCTTTATAAATATCCACTGAAACGAATTGAAACACAACTTCAAACACTGTCGCAGCCTGCAAAAGACAACTAAAGGTAACACACATCTTTGACGATGAAGTCAGTTTGCATCCTGATGCTTTTTTATGTGGTGATATTGACCTTACAAGTACAGGAAGTTGAAGGAATCGGAACACTTTGGAGGACTCCCACCAAAAAGGCCAAGAGAGAAAATCAAGATAATGAGTTGCATAGGAAGGTACTATTACAAATGTTTTTTGAATACCGAAAAATTATCTTAAAGTCTTTAGGTTTGGTACTTCAATTTACCTATTAGAGTGGCAAGATCCCGAGAACCATGTTAATCATGCTCCCTTTTAATGCTAGCAACAAATTTACTAATTACAAAATGACTATGGAAGTCTTGGTGGTAGACTCAACATAAAAGTGGAACATATTATTCGTCGTGTGTATAAAACAGTATTTGAAAAGCTGTAAAGGAGGACCCTGTAAGCCTAACAGCCTGCTTTTCTTCTTTCTAGAAGTTTCCACTCGACAACAAGCGGAACCTGTGCGCAGCTGTACGTGACATTGATTGTAGTCGAGTTTTGGAAGATGGATCAGAGTCCCAGTGAAAAAATAGAATGCTAGTTGATATTGGAATAAAAAAAAAAGCCCTCGGCTCTCTTTTGTTAGCCCAGCAAGAGAAAAGCTTCAAGAACTGTGTGAATTTTTAGAAAGAATGACTAAACTCATAGTAAAAATAAACTTGGCCTAAAACTCTTGAATGACGGTAAGTGTGTTGCTATCATCATGTCACCCTCAGAAGGTGCTGAGTCACAGCTGATATCACCAACAATTTTGCGAAAATGTTTTTATCTCGTCATTTATGTGGTATCCTTTACCATCCTGTTTCTATTTAGTTCAAATTCATTCTTTGGAGTTTTTTTTATATCTTTCCTTAAGGTGAAGCTTGTTTCAGTGAATACTCCATGTACTCAACAAAGAT